AGAGAGAGAGAGAGAGAAGGGGGAGGGAGGGAGGGAGGAGAGGATGGAGGGAGAGAGGGAGGGAGAGAGAGGGAGGGAGAGAGAGGGAGAGAGGGAGGAGAGGAGAGTAGAGAGAGAAGGGGAGGGAGGATGGAGAGAGGGAGGGGAGAGAGAGGAGAGGGAAAAGGAACTAGTGGAGTAGGAAAGAGGAAGAGAATCCTTTAATTATAATAATTATAATAAAAAGGAAGCAATGTGTATGTGTATTAATTGCTTCAACAATATCATCTAATTGTATATAATGTACATAAGAGATGAACATGTACGTGTAATATAGAAGTTTATATACATGTATGTACGTGTACATATTTTTGTTATTAAATTATTTTTATTTTTCCTCCAGTTGTTGAGTCTATAGAGAAGGAGAGGACACCATTGACTCATTTGGAAGCCATTTACATTGCACAACCAACCGAGGCGGTAAGCGTTTAAAGATTAATTGTACGTGTGATTTTATTTTATTCTTTTTATTTAATTTATTTTAGAACGTTAATAAGATAATTGCTGATTTTGATCGTCCGGCTGACCCAAAGAACCTTTACAAATCTCTTCACATCTTCTTCCTACAGAGTAAGGATAAATAAAATAAATAAATAAATAGTAATAATAATAATGGTAATATCATTGATTGATTAAAGTACTTCAAAATAATTTGGCAGGTATTCAACTTTAAAGTTAGTATTGCATCTGATATGCACAAAATTGCCAATTTAAAAATACCAAAAATGCCTCCAAAATCAATAAATTGAAGCACAATGCTTCAAATATATCATGAAATTCATTTCTTCTCTCTCTCCCTCCCTCTCTCTCTCTCACTCACTCCCTCTCTCTCACTCTCTCTCTCTCTCCCTCCCTCTCACTCTCTCTCTCTTACTCTCAGAGTGTCCTGTTTCTTTGTTCAGTAAACTCGGTGACAGTCTCGCCGGAAGACGTAAGCGCATTCTCATATCCTCACCTTCGTTATTCTTTATGATCCAATCCTCACAATTTGTTTATCTTTAGGAATCAAAACACTCAAAGAAATCAATTTAGCTTTCCTCCCGTACGAGTCACGAGTCTTCTCCCTTGATGATCCTGACGGTTTCGAGGACTACTTCTGTCAAAGTGGGAGAAGGAGAGATGAACTTTATTCTGCTTATGCTGACCAGCTGGCCACTGTCTGTTCACTGCTAGGGGAATATCCGGCAGTGAGGGCTTGGAAGTAAGTGTGGTCTACTACTGTATAGCAGGGAATTTTGAACGTAGTTAAATTTGGCAAATTGCTAAATTTTGGTGACTGGCAAATTTTAATTTGGTGAATTTGTGGCCATGTGCTGTTGAGCATGCGTATAATGGCTCAAAATGGTGGATTTTTATTTTGGCGAATGGCTATCAAAATGCCAAATTTGCCAAATTTAACTACCTCCAATATTTCCTTTTATACGGTAGTTAGGTCGGATTTTATTATCATTGTATCTCTTAGTAAGCTTAATATAAAATGAGTTTAAATATTATCATATCAAAAATAAAAAAATTAAAAAAATTGCCTAAAAATCTATTTTGCGGATTTAATTTAATGCCGTCTGCCATCTTTTACTGTAATAATTTGATTTGTGAAAGTATTTTTGTGAATCTTCAAAAAATTGAGAAATCTGCGAAATTTACAGCCCTAAAAAAGGCACCCCACAGTATTAATTATTATTATTATTATTATTGTTATTATTATTATTATTATTATTGTTATTATTATTATTGTTGTTGTTGTTTTTGTTGTTGTTGTTGTTATTATTATTATTATTGTTGTTGTTATTATTATTTATTGTTGTATTTATTTGTCTCAGGGATGGTAATAATCGTTGCTCTGAACTGGCTTACAAGTTGCAAGAGAAACTCGACTACTTCAAGTCACAGAAACCCGAACTGGGAAAAGTATGTTGCAATTATTAAGTTTTAATTAGAGTGGGCGTGGCATTTAATATTTGATTAGTGTGGGCGTTAATTAACATCATTTTCATTTGTGCTAGGGTGCCAAGCAAGTCTCTGAGTTTATTATCTTGGACAGGTACAAATCAACACTCATCCATTCATTGTTATTTTAACACTGTTTGGTTGCATATTATACTAAATGTCTTTTAAATTTTCATTTCTATTATTATAATAGAGGATTTGATGTAGTGACTCCTGTGCTTCATGAGTTAACTGTGCAGGTGAGAGGGAGAGGGAGGGAGGGAGAGGGTGAGAGAGGGAGGGGAGGAGGGAGGGAGGGAGAAGGTGAGAGAGAGAGGGGAGGAGGGAGGGAGGGAGAGGGAGGGAGAAAGAGAGAAGGGGAGGGAGGGAGGGGAGGGCAAAGAGAGTAGGGGATAGAGAAATAGGTAGTAGGGAGTAGATTAACTGTTACATGTGGTAAATCGTGTTTTTCTTCTATTAATTGTTTCTAGTGTATGGTCTATGATCTACTCAAGCCAGATAATGATGTCTACCAGTGAGTTCATTAATAGTTAGTGTGTGTAACTGGTTTAAACTGGTTTGATACACTTGTGTCAGCTGTGGATATAGTCTAGCTGTCCCTTTATGGAAGCATTGATTATTATTATAGTTAATATTGATTATTAAGTATTCGAACTGAAATGGATGTAGTAATATTGAGAGCAGAATAATTTTAAGTTGTGAAAGAATAAAGTCATTTTTATGACTTAAATAAATAAAATAAAATTATTATTTTAATTAATCAATAATATTTGTACTCTCTTCTCCTTGCCAACTCTTGAAGAATTTTAATTATTTTAATTATTTTTTTTTCCAAAAATGGAGCGATTTAATTGTAACTGATTTTAATTTCTTTTTAGGTTTAAGACCAGCTCTGGGGATGGTCAAACAAGACAGAAGCAAGCCATATTAGGAGGTGGGTGTGGCTTCAATTAATTAATTAATTATTAATTAATCAATTTATTATTATTATTATTTTAGAAAATGATGATCGTTGGAAGGAATTGAGGCACTTGCACATTGCTGATGCGTCAAAGTGAGAGTGGGTGTGGTTTAGATTAATAAAAATTGGGGTGATTTTGGAGCCATTTTCTGAGAAAAAACCATGGGTTGTAGTACAGGGATTTTTTCAGAATTTTGGCATTTTCTTGCCGTAACTTGAAAAATTTAAGTCAGAATCAGCTCAATTTTTCTACACAGCATAATGACGTCAATATGTATCAGAAAATGTAATAAAAATTGTGGGTGATTTTTGGCCATTTTTCAGAAAAAAGCATGGGCTATAGTACAGGGTATATTTTCAGATTTTCACAATTTTCTTAAATTGGCCATAACTTGAAAAATTTAAGTCGGAATGAGCTCAAACTTTCTACACAGCATAATGACGTCAATATGTATAAGAAAATGTAATAAAAATTGGGGGTGATTTTTTAGCCATTTTTTAGAAAAAAGCATGGGCTATAGCCTTGGGTATTTTTCAGATTTTCGCAATTTTCTTAAATTGGCCATAACTTGAAAAATTGAAGTCGGAATGAGCTCAAACTTTCTACACAGCATAATGACGTCAATGTGTATAAGAAAATGTAATAAAAATTGGGAGTGATTTTTTGGCCATTTTTCGGAAAAAACCATGGGCTATAGTACAGGGTATTTTTCAGATTTTGGCAATTTTCTTAAATTGGCCATAACTTGAAAAATTTAAGCCAGAATGAGCTCAAACTTTCTACATAGCATAAGGACATCAATATGTTTAAGAAAATGTAATAAAAATTGGGGGTGATTTTTTAGCCATTTAAAAAAAAAAGCATGGGCTATTATAGCCTTGGGTATTTTTCAGATTTTCGCAATTTTCTTAAATTGGCCATAACTTGAAAAATTGAAGTTGGAATGAGCTCAAACTTTCTACACAGCATAATGATGTCAATATGTATTAGAAAATGTAATAAAAATTGGGAGTGATTTTATGGCCATTTTTCAGAAAAAACCATGGGCTATAGCCTTGGGTATTTTTCAGAAATTAGCATCGAACTAACAGTGTACAATGTACTTGTATCACTGTAATTTGATCATTCTTTCTTCTGGTGATGCTTGCAGGTCTATTTCTGAGGGAGTGAAGAACTTTGCTAAACAGAAGAAGCTTGGAGGAGGAAGTGATGGAGATGTAAGTGTGGAAAGAGAGAGAGAGAGAGAGAGAGAGAGATCAAAATTAAATACTATAGTAGCTGGAAATATTATCAGAGAAATTAATATTGGAGGGTTAGTACTTGCAGTGAACATCCATCAAAATAAAACCTGCCATTAAAAAAAATTGTAGTTTCTGATAATGTTTCCTAGATTGTACTTGTAATAGAGAGATGATAATGATTATTTATAATTATATAAATATTTTTTTATTATTTATTTTGTTTGTGTGTAGGTATCTATCAAGGAACTCTCAAAGCAAATCAGAAGAGCCCCGCAATATCAGAAGGAGCTCTCAGAAGTAATAAATAAATAAATAAATTAATATGATCATAATAAAATGTGTGTACATGTACATGTATACATTCATGCATTTTAATTAGTTTAATATTGAAAATAACAGTGATTATAAGGTGTGATGATTGTTATTGTTGTCGTAATAAGAATGTCATCATCATTATTATTATTAAGCTGTAGAGTTTGGAGCATGTTTATCGCTACAGAATGATAACACAATATTAACATGAGATCTCTCATGTTCCCTTAAACCTCTCCCTCTCCTTCCCCCCACTTCCTCTCTCTCCTTTTTGTATACTTTATCTTCCTCTCTCTCTTTTCCTATCTCTTCATCCTCCTTTTCCTTTCTCCTTCCTCTCTCTCTCTCTCTCCTCCCCCCCTCTCTCTCTCCCCCCTCTCTCTCTCCCTCTCTCTCTCCCTCTCTCTCTCTCCCTCTCTCTCTCCTCCCCCCTCTCTCTCTCTCTCCTTCTCTCCCTCCAGTATTCTCTCCATCTGTCCCTAATTGACTCATGCATGAACTTGTACAAGAAAGGAGTTGGTAACTTGTGTAAGGTTGAGCAGGATCTTGCCACTGGTGTCGATAAGGATGGACTGAAGATTGATGAGCCACTTAAGATCATAATGTCTTCACTTTTTGACAGGAACGTGAGGTAAGACAAGTACAATAGAATCATAGAAGAAAAATATTAATAATAACTGTACAATAAAATGCACATAATAATAATAATTATTATTATTATTATAGTGACAATAAAAATGTATAATAATTAGCTAGTGATAACAATGATGATGAGGAATGATGTCAAATGACATAATTAAAATTCCATTTTACTATTTCATTTTTAAAGTACACGTACATGTACATGCAATACAAAGTCACTTATGCTTTTGGGATTGTTGTATTTAAATATTTTGTTTGTTTATTATTATTTATTATATTGACTATATTCAGGCTGAGTATGACTACCTTTAATGACTGACTGTCCTTTAGAGGTTTGGGTTTATTATGAGATGGTTGTATTGGCAGTACTATGTAAGGGAATGTTGCATGAGAAATATCTCCATGGGGCCTTTTAGCACATCAACGTCATCATCATTATTGTGAAATATGTAATTGAAATCTTACACATGGTGTTTTTATACGTGTACATGTATGGACATGCAGTGTTAAATTTATATTGAGGTAATGATTTTTAATTTTAAAAGTATATTAGTCTAAGATTGAAATTATACATAATGTGAAAGAAGGTTTTACGAATTGCCTATTTCAATCATATTGCATGTACATGTATGTACATGTACATACGAATCATTATCCTGTGCCTATACATGTACATTAAATGAACTTATACTTTAATTAATTTATATGTTAATGTACATGTACATGTATACTAGTCATTGATTTATTGGGTATAACTTGTGAGAGACATTTCTTTGTTAGTATAGTACAATTAGCAAAACGTCGAAATTGAATTTAGAGTCATTAACTTGTAGCGTCCTTGTACATGTAGATGTACTTGTACTTGTACTTGTTCATGTACTAGTTCTTTTGATCATTGACTAATTGTAAGGAGGTGAATCCTTAGAAAGTTACTATGAACTTGTCAATGTGATATTGGATGTCAGCCAGTAAGAGAAAAAGGGAGCCAATTGTACTCCATAATATTTACATGTACATTAACATACAGTACATGTACATGTACATGTAACAGCTATACTCTTATTAATCACATGTACATGTACATGTACATGTATAATCTATAATGAACAGCCAAATTGAAATCAGCATATTGTACATGTACGATTGTGTAGTCTCTTTCTTTGCCAGCTGTTGGCTCCATGTATTTTTGAAAAGCCTTTCTGGGTCTGTTTTCATTGTATGCTGTAGTTCTTGGAATAGAGAGGGAGAGAGAGAGGGGGAGGGATGATTTGATAATGGAACAACACAACCTTCATTGTGCCTATGTATGGCTCTCTTTATCTGCTAATGGGAAAATGACTATGATTATAAAACATGGAAAGGAAAGTAACTTTATGGATAAGGAAACAAAAGAACAGGATAAGCCCATTACTCATACAATGTCCATGACCTTACATAGCCTTGTCTCATCATTATTATTATTATTTTAACAAGACTGGATCTATGTCATGTTACCAATTATAGTATATACTAACAAACATTTACATCATCAGTGTAATGTTCATATAAAAACTACTCTATTATCTACTGCATACTTTGTATGTGTAGAATGCTTAGATGTCTTCATGCATGATTTCAGGGTTTACAACTAAGCATTAGTGGTCAGCCTGTCCTTTATTATAGTGAAAGAGGTTCCCTCTATGTCTTTGTCTAAACTCTATCCTTTATTGTGGTCCCTTGGAGAGAGTGGGAGTGAGGTCAGGTAGTTTTCTTAAGCTGTCATAGCTGCAATGTCTGATAGGGATCGCTATACCCATGGCAACTTCACTGCACCTGCTAGTTATGACAAGGAGCTTCATTGCTATGTCTTACTATTGTAGTACATTAATATACAGTACCTAATAATGTATTTTAAAGTGGCTCTAACCTTATGTACATTTATAATATAATATTTAGTGTCATGTATGATTTAGATTTGTCTACCCTTTCTCTTTCTTTTATCCTTTAATTCAATTACTGTTGAAGCTCCCAAGGTCTTCCTAAAATTGCATTACAAAATACATCAGATCATCAACCATACTGTCACTGGATACAATGTACTTGTATTATGTAGAATATGAGATAATTTCTGTTGTACTGTATTGATTCACTTGGTAATAATACCCACTTCCTTTGGTACCCAGACAGCTAGAGTGACTCTAGACAATAAAATCATCCACCCACTGGCTTTTATTAGGAACAGGTGTAGAGCTGAGAGCTGTGTACATTACACTCAGCTTGTGTAATCCAATAGTCTTATTCAAATGATTTTTATCAGGTCAGAAGACCTGACTAGTCTATAGTAATCACTGGTGACTCTGAACAATAGCAATAATGGAATATTATGATATAGTGATACTACTCATGTGTTCCATTGGAATAGATTTTGAAAAGACTTACCTGGTATTATTATGATTGTCAAGTAGACAAGCCCTTTTCTTATCAGCCTGTACTCACTGTAGTATTAGCCCTGTCTAAACTGTTGTACAAATGAAGTGGGAACAGTTTTCCTATTATGACTGGTTGTATATCTACCAGTGGGTCGCTGTACTTTAACATCTGACTGTGTTAGTGTAATGGGTTTGTTGTGTGTGTTAGCATAGGGGAGAGTGTCTTTGGTACTTTTGTGTTATTTTTTTTCAGCCTAAAAAATACAATTTTTGTTTATATCTGGTTTTGTGTGTGTGTATGTATTGTGGTCTACAGTGACATTCGGTTGTGTCAAAATTGTAGTAGAATTGGTATAATGAAGAGATTGCTTGCTGGAATATGAGTGTTAATTGTTATAATAGAAACTATGTAATGTGTACATTATTCATCTCTGTCTCTTGTTCTCTCTCTCTCTCCCTCTCTCTCTCTCTCTCTCCCTCTCTCTCTCTCCCTCCCTCTCTCTCTCTCCCCCTCCCTCTCCTCTTTTTAGTGTCTATGACAAGATAACGCTCTTGATTTTGTTCATCCTCCACAAAAAA